CCCATGGAAACAGGTCCTGGCTCCTGAGCACAGCAACATACATGAGGGTCAGACAGTAATACACATACAGAATAGGTACACATTACATACATAGGAGCTCACAGAAAAATGCAGAACAATGACACAACCAATTTCTACATCCTTTATGACATAGACTTTTTGCACTAGCAGGTGGTTGGTGACGAACGCATGCTCTCTGCATAATGTTTTCCTGACAGAGGACCCCCGAGGCTGGACATGATGAGGCTAGACATACGTCTGAGGAAGCTCCACACGCCCCCTCCAAGGCTTCCTCCTCCTTCTTAAAGACAGTGTAGAAGATGTAGACTAAAAGGGAGTAGAAGGCATACATCTCCACGCCGTCCAAGAGTCCCTGTAAATGACAGATTAACTCAATAATCATATACACCTTTAACACAGTGCAGAAAAGCAGGAATTCTAGTTCTTACCCTGATATTATATATTAACACACAATTATACTGATTATCATAGGGTGCATGATGATGCTGGTCTCAGCTTCTCCAGAGATTCAACATTTCTTGCCTTATTAACCATCACCCCATCCCATCATGCATAATGCTTTATCTTCTTTACCTTATCACATATCTTCTCCTCTTTGGCGATGACAATCGGACATTCCAGTCATTTGAATTCCCCTTTCACACTCCATCTGTGCTCTCAATGACAAATCTTCCCATGCAGCCCTTGTTCAGAGCTGTAACAGCATCCCAGTGCTTTGTGCAGCTCCTGTGTGACTCCCTCTCTGCTGTTCTCTCTCCACCCCTTTCTCTTCCTTCTCCTCCTCCTCCTCCTCTTCTCCACTTTGCTCCATCTACAGGCTGCATCGGTGGTGAGCATGCTCAGTGCAGTTTCCTGATCCGCTGCAGTGGTGGAGTGACAGATACAGCATGGAGAACTGATGGAGCTGGTGGGGGTAGTTTATGCTGATAACAGTGGCCGGATGAGATGTGTTAGGTTTGAGGTGCTCATAAAGATCGGAAACTGCAGCATAATGCTCTTTCAAATACTGATGAGTGGAACAACAGTGATAGGTGGTACAACCGTTAAACATGAGCCAAGAGATCTTTGAAATGTAATGTAACGTAACATAACGGGGGGGGAGACTTTTTGATAATGATTTTACACAATTTATTTAAGTTAAGTTGACTTCCCTTAGTGAATATTAACACTGTCTCAACAAATAGCAATTAAATAAAAGAACAAATACAGATGTACAACGTGACATTTTTAAAAACAAAAAGACATGAACTGAATGATGAATCATTACAAAAAACACAGTTATCATGATGATTTTGGCACCTTAAACTCACAAATGTTCACAGAATTTCCTGAATACCTTGAATATGTCCGTGGTCACCTGTGCCCTGAGGTCTGACAAAGGCATTGTCCCACAGACAGACACTGAGCTGCAGATGCTTGTACATATACTGCAGCAAAACTACTGAGGCAGCTGCTCACAACTCTGAAATCCTTAGAGAATCTGCAGTGTCCACTTCAAATCTCTATAAAGAATATTAATATCTCACATAGACAACACTGTGGACAAACCTTATTCGTGACAGTGAGTTAAAGAGATGAGGTCATTTCTGCTACCATTACAGCCACTAAAAACCAAGGAGGTAATAAAAAGTGCATTGATAAGGTTCAAATGGGCGAGATAAGAGCAGGGCCAAGAGCTAAGACCACTGCAGATATTTAAACAGTGATACAGCTGAGGCTGCAGAACAAACAGGACCCAGACTCTGAGGCAGCTGGATGTTTTTTGGAGTATACAACACTAAAACTGTTCACAGAGAGATGTGTGGAGGATGTAAATGACCTGGGAGTGAGTGCAGCCTGCTAGACGTTCTTGGAAATGATCACATAGGAAATTACAATAGCCACAGGCTGCCTACATCATTGTTAAATTTTAAAAATAGCTCAATAAATGTCACCCAGGCACTGCCAGTATATAAAAGGCTTATTGTTACACTACAGTGATGCAGAATCCACCATGCGCTATCAGTTGTAAACTGTGGTCACGTACTCTCATGCAAAAGAGTTTGCTCAGTGGTATTGTTATTTTGTTTAATCCTGTGCTTTTAATTCAAATTAAGTTCATAGGAAGTTCAGTCAAGGTCTTGGTTTAGCAGCTACTGTTAATTCCAGTAAGACATCAATGCAAGGACGGGATTATTTCTAAAATACTCCCACTTCCTGTTTGACTTCCCATCACCAGGCAGACAGTTTGTCTTGTTTTTACTTTTAAACACAGATATCAGTTATTCATTTTTCATTTTCCATTTATCTCAGCCTAATTGTTTTGCTCAATAATTTCTTCCTTTTTTCCTCAATCACCTATATGTAAAGGCATGTTGTACTTTAATGCATGTGGAGTCCAATTTAGACACTAGTGCTGCAACTAACAATTGTATTATTTGTTTAATCCCTTCATTGTTTTTTTAGATGTAATAATTTCAATGTAACCTTTAATCTATATTATTTATTATTTCCCAGAGCCCAAGTTGAGGTCCACAAACTGCTTGTTGCTTGTTGTCAGTCTTAACCCTAAGGATATTAAATTCATAATGACACAGCAAAGAGAAAAACAGGAAATCCTCACATTTAGCTGGAACCAGCTACTCTGGGGCACCATAACTAATATTTGCTCAATTAATCCATTATAAAAATTGTTGCCATTTTATTTTCTGTTGATTGACTAATCAATTAATCAACTTATCATGTCAGCATTACTGGACGGAAATTAAATGTTAAACATTGTATATGTTCTTTTGTATATAATGGTTCTATTACCTGTAATAATAATATTAATAATAATAATGTAATAATAATTGTGTCAGTTCTGTTACACTATGAGCTCACTGAGGCAAACATTTGGTGTTCTAATGGCAACAAAGTTAACTAATCTTTCTCACTAATGTCCTAAAATGCTTTTAAGTTAGGCACATTATTTTTTGCATAGGTCCAGTTTTTAGTGCTAGTGTGTTTTACTAAATGCCTATGTTATATCGGTCGGACACATCCAACAGAAATTTCCTGAGGGCCTGAGTGGAAGCCCAACAGCCAACAGACATGGAGCCTTTTAAAAGCCACTTCATGAGTCCCTCAATTGCAGCCGGAGAAATTAGTGGAGCCAAAGTGTTTGTTCTGACCCTCGGAGCCACAAGCAACGGGAGGCTGAGAGCCACACCGCCAAAGGCCCCAAATGCATTACCAGCAAACAGACACACGGTCAGGCAGCAGGACAGGGAAGAGAGGCCCAGGCAGCGTGTCATCATTGTGAGAGCATCTGCAGAGAGCCAGTCACACAGTCCCAACAGCAAACAAGAGCCACACAGGAGAATATGTGCTGTGTTGCGGTCTTCACTGAGCCACAGGAAGTCAAAGGAGACCAACGCTGGAGCCAGAACCTCGCTGGCCCACTCTGCTTCTCTCTGGATGGAGGTGAGGTACGAGCTCGAGGGATGAAAGATGCAAAGTGCTGCGGAAACTCCAAGCAGGAAAAGGCCCACTGAAGGGGCCCTATGATTCTGCAGGGAGAGAATGAATGAATGAATGAATGAATGAATGAATGTAGAGGCAGTAGCAAAATTACAAAGTGAGACATTTTATACATGGATTTATTGCTTATCTCATTTCTAACTAAAATAATGGGGAATCTCAGCCACAGGGTGTTTAGAATACACACTTATTATGTATTATTACGAATAAGATTAACTGCAAAAAACCCAATAAATTAAGAAAAAAAACCTCAAACCAAACAGTGATGGTAGCTTAGGAGATAAAGTCATCATTTTCAGTATCAAATGCCTTTCCAAATATTTTCCTTGATTAATAAATAAGCGGTTTGGTCAAAAAGAGCGACATATTAAAATAGCTTGTTTTGCCCAAAAAACAGCTCAATATCCAATGTAAAACAATTTATTAAACATTTGAAACAATAAAAGGCATAAATGACTTAAATGTGAGTAGGAGGAACCAGAGAATGTTTGTTTTTGTGCTTGAAAAACTGACTACTCAAAAAGATACTCAAAATAGTTTGTTATAGTTGATCATTGTGTCTGTATATCAACTAATGGATTAGTCAGCTTGTGTTTACAGCCCTGGAAGTTAGTAAATTATGACTTGGCCCATCTTTATTGGCAGCACACTGTCTGAATGACACCCACCTTATAAAGTCTGTAAGAAGAGTACAGTGCAGTGGCAGACAGGATGATGTTGGAGCAGGATACTATCCACTCTGTTACACAGGACGCCATTGATCCTAACGACGACTGGCACTGCTGTAAACATCCACGATGTTGCCAGCGCAACCGTTACTACGGCAACAGACAAAGTTGGCTCTAATGAATGTGTTTGCTATTAATTACTACAACTGTAGCATTAATGTAAACGTAGGGTAGTATTTAATGAAGTCAATGTTGAGCCTGAACACAGGTCCAGACTTATATCAGGAACACGTTTGTTTTGACACGTGACTGGCCCGGATATGGACAGTGCGCATGCGCTAAAAGATGCTTTCTGCGCTGCTCGTAAACTCTAGCAGCAGGATAAAGCGCAAGTTTTACCCATTGACAGTATGGTTAATGGTTCCTGAATGACTTGACTATTAATTTGTACTGTTTTATCATCATTTACTTGCTTTTGTACGAGACTGTGTTCGACAAAATAATAAACTTGATATTGAAATAAAAAGTGCGTCACTAAAAATAGTTAGTGCTAAATGATTCGAAATGCTTCTCAAGCATTGGCGGGTAATGTGAATTAAAGGTAATGTTACAAATTCAGATAGGCCTATACCACTATGGCAAACGGAATTTTTTCAACGGTTTGTAGAAAACAATAATTATTTTTAACAGGGGTTATAATCTTATATATACTGTCAATGGTTGTAATCAGTAAAACAGAGGGGGCAGTAATGCAGTGGGCAGTAATGCAGTGGGCAGTAATGCAGTGGGCAGTAATGCAGTGGGCAGTAATGCAGTGGGCAAACAGGAAGACGTTTATGAGTTTTCCCGACCGTACCTAAAGGCAGCAAAAGTTCGAAAAGTATGGCGGCGGAGTGTTTGACAACAGTAACAGAGCAATGGATACGAGACAGATTACAATTAAAACACCCCTATCTCGGTAACATTCAAACGTTGTATAGGAATAAATACCAGCTAACATTAACGGCAGAACCGTGGCGTTTAGCTTTTTGCCATGACAACAGTTGTAGACAGTTACTTTCTTAAGCCTCAGCATCGGTGGCTAAGCTAACGACAGCTAACATACCAGCAATAACTGCCACCTCCTGTAAACCAAAGCACCAGAAGCAAATAACACAGCGCGGTCTCATTTATACACACATTGTGCTTTGTAAACAGGTGATGTCCGCTCGCTGAGCCTCCCGGGGACCTACGAGGAGAAGATCAGACATCTGGGAAACGCACTGATTAACTTTGTCCGTCTGAAGTCTCTGGACCTCTCCTGCAATGCGTTAGTCTCGGTGGAGGTAAGTTATGTTTAAATCATGTTTTTAAACCTTAAACGTGTTTGTAAAACGACAGTTATGAAAACTAGGTTACACCTGGAAAAGGTTATCGTCCAGTTATCCACTTAAATGTAATCTTTAAGTAGCTTTAAGGCTGCTGAAGTCATCATATCCAACGTTATAACGTTTATATTTTGCACTGGTTTGTTACAACTCCTCATTTAAAGCCCTGTGATGCATACATTTAAGTTCTGCAGGTTTGAAAGAGATTTGTCTGCATGGCATTAGTTTGTAGTGACTGACCCACTCTAACCACACTGGTTCACTTCACCCACTCCTCCCTCACACCACAAGCCTTTTACTATCTTGTGTTGGAGGTGGAAAAGGTCAGTGACATTGTTGAATATGAAGTAGTAGTAGTAGCCGTTGTGTGACCCCTTTGAAAGCTGTACTGTTTCCTCCCCAGGGCGTTCAACACTTGAAGGTGTTGGAGAGGCTGATCCTGTACTATAACCGCATACCTTCCCTTGAAGAGGTGAAGGTGCTGTATGAGCTGCCGGCTTTGAGAGAGCTGGACCTCAGGCTCAACCCCTTGACCAAAACTCACCCACACTATCGCCCTCATCTGGTGCATGCCATGCCCAGCCTGCGCAAACTAGGTAAGACATCGCCATGTTGCCCAGACTTTGCTAATCTCAGCTCAGTTTGCAGCGTAACTGAGTGTCTTCTTTTGCTTTCTAGATAGCTGTCCAGTCAGAGACACTGAGCGGAAAGCTGCCATAATGCAGTTCTCCTCTGACCTTCTACCTCAGCAGAAGAGCTCGTCTTTGAATCAGGCTCCTGGCCAAAGGTACACTGATGTTCAGATGTTTAACTCGTAACTAACTGATGAGTTTATGTGTCTCAGCTCAACTTTGACTTGATAGAAGGTCTACCAACGATTATGAGAACATGGAAAACCCACTGAGCTGATTTTGTGACAGGGCAAAGAAGCTTTGGGAATGTTTGGTAACTGTTTGGTTTATTCATCTTCAAATTTGAAACAAGTCGCATAACGTTTCTGTTGTGCACCATGCTTTATTCACCAAACATTTTCAGCTATCTTGCCTCTATCATTGTGGTGCCTGAGGCCGTTAATCTGTCATGTGATTGATATATCACCATAGATACCACGTATTCAAAACATCATCTTTTTCATCAAAAATACTATTTTAAAAATGGCATTGTCCTTAGTTTATACAAAAACTAAGGGTATGAATGCCCATCACTCTAATGTACTGATAATGAAGTTACTGTAATCCAAATTGATTCCTTTCTGCTTTTACTGGCTTTTCTTGTGTTTCCCAGAAGCAGTGATCAGAGACTGGCTTTAGTTAATCGCTTAACCAAGAGGCTCTCTCTCCTGACCGACACCGATGATATTGTGTTGAATTTTGTTGGGACAAATCATGGGGACCAAAGAAAAACTCAGCCCATCCCTGACTCAGTTCACAAGGAAGCAGAAGGTAGGATGCCAAAGTCCAAAAGCTAATTCTTAAATCAAAACCAAACCAGTAGATTTTATGTTTTGTGTTCAAACTTCTATTCATGTCAAACTGTCTTCTGTCTCACAACACACAGAGGACCAATCAAAAGATTTTACCGAACAGAGGAGTTCTACTCCAAAACAGGTTCTTTTTTATCTCACTGTCTGTCAAACAATATCATCAGTATTTACATTCTCATATATACTGTATGTGCTCTATTCTTTTTTTTAGGAAACTGCTAAATCCATCCTCAGGTATCCCCCCTCAAAATATGGTACGTTTTTACAGCTCTCTGTACAGACAGAGTCAATTAGAGATGTAGAGTTAGTAAAAAAAAAAAATTGTTAGATTATATGATAGGAAGACTGTTTAATGGTAATTTTCTCTACTTTAGTCCCAGCTTTATGTGGAGTAATCAACATCTGTAATTTTGATTTGGTTATCAGAATAAGTAATCAGAACTAGGTGAATGTAGAATAAAATACTTTATCTGGTTATAGTTAAATAGAGGGCACATGATCAGGGCGGCTGTGGCTCCAGAGGTAGAGGCGGGTCCGTCCCCAAATCGCAAGGTTGTTGGTTCCGATCCCCGGCTCTCCTGGCAATGTTGTCGAAAGTATCCTTGAGCAAGATACCTGAACCCCAAAGTTGCTCCTGATGCCATAGCCCATCAGCTGTGTGAATGTGTATGAATGTGTTAGTTTTCTGTTTGATGGACTTTGCCATCGCCTGTGTTTAACAGGGTGAATGTGGGCAAATGTAACGTGTAAAAAAGGCGCTATACAAGTACAGGTCCATTTACCATTTACCATTTACCATCAGTTATTTTCCTGATGTAAAAACACCACTAGGGGGAGACAAGCCAATACTTGTGTATTTTTAAATCATGAACACAGTGTTTCTATTGAAGATTAGTTAATATCAGTGTTTTACTATGTCATTTGTAATTGAGCAGATAACACCAAGTCCAAAGTGCCACACACGAAAGAGCCATCTGATAAAAGAAACTCTACCTCATTAAAAGTGACTGAAAGACCAAAGGTATCCTTTGGCCCCTATGTAGAGAAACAAAGACCTGTACCTGGAAAACAAAAGCAAAAGGATCTCCCCAAACAAACCAGACATGTAGCCAAGGGACATTATACCCCCAATCCTGGTAAGAACTGAATGTCTGTACTTAATAAAAGCCTTTCTTAGAAGTTCCATAAATCCACAAATACCCAATAAAATTTTCTTGGCAAGTTGCTGAATGTATGTTTTCAACCTTTTTCCAGATCAAAGTTGTCGGCATAGCTCTTCATTTATTAATATCCGACCTCCCAGTCCATGCTGTCCTGGTTTCAATCTGTCTGACCCCTCCAACCCTATCTTACATCCTCCAAGACTGACTTACTCTAGCTTCAACAAGACAGAAGGGGGCTCCAGCCTGCCGGAGACAATGGAAAAGACAAAAAGGGTGCGAAGTTAATTCAGTCTTCTTACTATTTCACATACTGAGTCTTTATTCATTGGTTCTTACTACTTATCAAAATCCTATCTGAGTTTGTTTTTTTCTTCCCTCATATCTACTCATGTCTGAATTCACCCCCCAGGGTACTTATAGGAAACCCCTGGAGATGCTCCTCAACCTTGTGGACAAACATTGGATGGGAGAGAGATCGCTCCATCATAACAACAACTTCCTGTGTGAGTTGGAGCTTGGTTTGTTTTGCGGAATGTGGTATCTGATTACCGGAGCCTGAGATAACGAATGTCTTCTCATCATTTTTATTTTTGGCTCTAGCTCAGGCAGTCCAGATCCTTTCTATGATGGAAAACGATATTTCCAGTCGGGAGGCTGAGGTCAGGACCTTAAGACGGGAAGCTGACGCGCTGAACTTTCAAGCGGCCGCACAAGACGAAGAGCACAAAACTGAAGTCCGTAACCTCTCTGCTCAGCTGGAGGCAGCACGCAGTGCAGTCGTGAGTGGACTCGGCACTGGAAAGCTATGTTGAGCTTTAGACTGTTTTGATGAGCACATTGTGTTTATTGTATTTCCTCAACACAGGGCAAACTAAATGAGCAGTTGAGGATTGTCTTGGAGGAAAATGTCTCTCTACAGAAACAGCTCATCAAGTTAGAACGACAGTATCTCAAGTCTATGATGAAAAGTTCGCCTATTACTCAGATTAAAGGTGGGTGTACAGTAAATGCCAGTAGAAGTTACAGCTTTTTCTCACAAACTCTCACACTCTGTGCTTGCACATCCTTAGAGGCTCAGACAGAGGTGGAGGAGCTGAAGAAAGAGATCGAGGGGTTGAGGGAGAAAGTGCAGGAGGCTGAGAAAGTCAAGGAATTGTCAAATATGCTGCAAGAAAGCCACAGGTAAGAAAATGTGGGCATCTTAGTGTTGACACTTGGTTTTTTGCCGGATCGGCACACCCACAACAATGATGTTCTCACACCTAAATCTGCCCTACTTTGTTGTCTGTCTGTGATTTGTGTCTGTGTACGTACTGCAGGTCCCTGGTGGCTACCAACGAGTGTTTGCTAGCCGAGCTGAAGGGAAGTGGGGAACTTTAAAGGAGAATTTGAATGAAGAGAAGCACACTGGGATTAAAATATCCAAGCAAGACTATGCTGAGCGTCATATTAGTGCTACATTCGCTGCACAAAGCCAAGCTACAGATGGTTTTTAAATTCTTTTTACTTACTTACTTCATATATTGTTTTGTGTGTATTAAGTTCCCACCCTTTGTGTGTTTATAGTATATTGTTTTATTATTTTCCAAAAATATGTATAGGCTGTGTTTGCTTGATGTAAACAGTAACGGGGAGAGGCAATTCATTGAAGAAAGTTTGTGTATGAGCGTGTGATAGGGCTGTTATGTTTATGATGATTATTAGTGGAAAAATGTTAGCGAGAAGGTCATAATGTATTTCCTGGATCAGTGGCAAGATTTTGTCTCTCTTAGCTTTTTTTTTTTTTTAGGTCACTTGTGTCTCCATCTGCTTTGTACACTGCAGTGGAATGAATGCATCTAGATTCCAGATGCACTGTGACTTTATTTATACCTCTGCCTGAGGACTGGAGAGCTACACACACACACACACTTTGCTCTCACAAACACTAATGTAAGACCTGGCAAACCAGGTTAGGATGTGGATGCTACTACATAAAACTGGTGGGGAGTTTCACAGTGTTCCTGGAAAAGCCATAAGAATATAAAACATATTGACTTACACCCTGTAACCTGTTCAACAGAGGTTCAGGAGTGTGTTTTTTTTATTTTCCATAATGCACTACAAATCATGAACACATTAAGAGGCCTAAAGAACAAGAACAAAAACACACTGCATGCACCAGGGCACAATAGTACATTAAAAGTTATTTAAAAAAAAAAAAGACAATATTGTTCATCCACATTAAAGGTGCACAGTATTTGGCATAAAGCACAGAAAACAGATCATACTCAAGCTACTGCAGCAGACAAAAACTAACACACCGATAGCTGCTAGTTTTGCACTTGATGCATGATTCTTCATCAGCTGAGGCTACAGGTAATGTGTGACAAATGTGAGACAAACACTGTCACTGTTGGAAAAATATTCTACAAAAGTATATTACTTGTTTGCAATTTTCCCTTTATCTCGTACAGTATGTAAAGATATAACAGTAAAACCCTGCTGCTTCAGTTTGTGCCTTGGATGATGGTACCACACATAAAAGGTACTTTTGGTACTTATTAACACTAGAGCATAGCCGACTTTGTACATGTACAGGTTGATATATTGATTTTAAGCAATACACAATTTTATCATGAGCCCACAATTTCATTACTTAATTTTTTATTTTTTTTGCAAGAAAATATGTCTGTCCAGTAGTCTGTCCTCACAGCAGGCACGGTAGTTTAGATATGACAAACTCCTACTGTCATCTATATGCTTCTGAATCAAATGCTATATACGTAACATGCACAAAGTACAGCAATACAGAAAAAAAAAACAACAACATATGAAGCCAGTGTCATAAATTAAGCCATGTGGCTATAACCTTTTAGAATATACACAATCTTACCACAAATATATTAGAACTACTGTATAGAAATAAGATGAGGAAATATAAGTAAATTTTTAAAAATACAATCTTGCACAACTGAGCCCATCTAATGTGGGTGGGGCTTCCTTCAGCTGAAATCTATTTAAAGTTCAAAAAGTATGTTAGCAAAAGGTTAAGGTAGATACAATAGGGTCTGAATAACGACAGTGTAAAATAGGAAACTCCTGTTATATTGTTTTTCTTTTAAGTGTGCATTATATGGTACGTGTTTTGTTTTTCATGTTTTACATATTCACAAAAGCAAGACATGGCAGTGGTCAAAAATGTTCAGTCTAATGTATTTTTGAAAAAAAAAAAACGAGCTGAAGGCAAATTATGGAAATGACAGTGTTCGCTTATAACATCAACAGCAAATTTTATGAAAACTAAACAAGTGGGGTTGGCAGACAGATAACACTGAATATGGAATTAACCATTTAAGCTGTCAAAAGAAATAAACCTTGATAATATCTATGTAAGAAATGTGTGCCAATTATGATTGAAACTGCAAAACAAATTAAAAATGCATCTCTTCAACTAAATAGGGGAATAGAAAACTTCCATTAAAAAGTGCAATGCCGCTAATTCATCAAACTGTTGTTCCACTTTTGTATTTCTTGGCAAGTTGTTTCAATTGTGCTCAATAAATATTATAGGGCCCTATCATAACAACAAAGCTTCAATATTCATAGCATAGCAGTTTCTCTCGTTTGTTCTCTTCAGTGTTTGGCAGTAACTTGCAGTCTGACAGGAATGTACCAGCTGGTGATGAATTTGTAAAAATAGATGTAAACAGTTTTCCAGTTCTCACACTTCACAAAGAGAGGAACTCAAAAACATCTCTCTCTCACACACAAACACACACAAAATAGATGGGTGGGAAAATATATGAAATCCTATTCTTTTGTGCTTTCTTTGAGTACTCTTTTAATAGAAAATTATCCTAGTAGTTGATCAAATGTTTATTTCCTCATCCTTGCCCTCACATGGGTTTGCCCACGGTGGGTTTATTCACTTTCTTTTCGTATGACCCTCGGTGTTTGTATCCCGAGACGTATCCGGAACTGTCAACTATGTCTTCTCGTCCCGCCTTACCCTTCCCGCGGCCGGTGGGGTCAAACCGCTCCTTGTGTGACCCTGTAAACTTGCTGGTGTCTGTGAGACGGCTCACTGTCGGGGAAGCCACGGCTCTCTGTGGGGAAGGTTTTTAAAACATTTTAGTTTATTCTGTTATTCCACTAGGAAAGCAGTAATGCTCACACTTCGAGTCTTACCGTGACTCCTGCAATGACAGGTGTCTTGCCCTCAATCAGCTTGAAGACCTCGGCCTCTGCCTCCTCTCCAGTCTTCTCTTTGTATTTCTTCCTGGCCAGTTCTCCGAGTGCAACCTTGAACTCATCGTATGTGATGTTGCGACAGGATTTCTTCCTGAAATGTAGTTGGAAAAGAAGCTTAAGTATGGGATAACACTTCACTGTATAACTTTTTATTTGTGTCTTTATAGCGCATAAACCCAGCAACAAACTATGTCTCCAGGGACAGAAACGCTGTATTTAAGATTGCTTTATCAGCAGCTCTTTTCTACAGCCTCTCAGTGGAGTTAGAAAGCTTAAAAACAAGAGCAGACAGTAGTGTACACAGAGCCATGTGTGATCACTTCAACATGGCAGTTGTAAGACACAGCATGGAGATGGTTTTGCACTGAGATAAACAATGAGAAAACTTTCTCTGTTTGGATCTTGTCTCCCAGTGTGTCTCGGTACTTAACTGTTGTCCGAGCAACTCCACAGACTTACACACACACACACACACACCTGTGGGCTGTATATGTGACTGTCTTTTCATATCATGTATCATATTGTGTTCAGCTGTATAGCTCAGCTCCAGTAGTCATGGCCCAGAGCCCTGATGTTTTTCATTCTAGCTAAGGACATTTAGACCTACTGAATCCCTGTATTCTCACATAAACTTCTCAAACTGTTGTAACCACTGACAGTACCATACCATAGATCATCATCATCAATCATTCTCCTTCTGAGAGTGCTCCAGTTGTTTAACTGGCCATGTGCCCGTTTCACTTCCACGTTTAAAAGTGCATAGTAACACAAACACAAACAGCCATTGCTGTGGTGATAAATCACCTAAACAACAGCCTATAAAGCCTGCAGTCTCCCTAGGCAACCTGCTGTCATAGCAACAAGCTACAGTAAACAGGGATGTTTGGGTTTATTATTAATTTGACTCATCCAGTGACCTTTTTTTTTGTTTGGGCCATCCATCAGTGTTGAACATTTGAGAGCTCCATTCCTCCGTGCCTGTTCCATGCTGTCTATTGTCAGGAGGGAAACTGGATTTCCAGCTGCCGTTTCTGTCCGAGGGAAGATAACTGTGTGTCCTCTGCAGATCTCCCCATACACAGCTAATAAATTCTCCAGAGTATACAAATGATTAAGCAGCATAAATAAACAGCAAATCAGAAACCTAGGAGCCTGTGATAAGGGTTAAAACCGATAAAGGGAGGGTGGAACTTTGTTTTAGCTCACTGACCTGCTGTTTATTTACACAGTTCAACCATCTGCACTGCATGATCCATATGGATCTGACATAGTAGTTGGCTGATTCTGTATCATGGTAAAATGCTCCAATGATCATGTTCAGTGACGAGGAAATACATCCAAAGCCTGGAAAATGAAGCCACAATAAGACCATGTTAGTAATTAATTAGTCCACGCCAGATTTTTACCTCATCCATAGTTTATGCTTTGGTAGTCTGGATCCAAGCAGCCAGACAGCAAAGCAAAGCAGAGACTCAATGTGGCGCAGCAGACCTTCATACCCACAATAAATAAGGATTCATTCAGCCATACCGTCATTAGCCAGAGCTCATTAAGATGTTTAATTTTTGTGTGCAAGCAAAGAGCTTTGACACTGATTAAAGGGAAAGTGAAGATCTACATCCCTGGCATGGCAGCCCTCCCCGGCTCAGTCATGCCTGGAGTCAGGAACTACATGAAAATGAGCCCTTCCCCCAGTCTGTACCTCTTTCTATCCTGTGGCTGCCTCTGAAGTGTACACACACCACACACTTTGTTCAGATTCTACTGTATAATGCTCCCTGATTAGAGTTTGTACAGCTCAACAGAGCCTGTACATTCACATGCCAGACACACACATCCAAGTACTTGTATATAATGTATACAACATTACACAGACTCACCATAAAAAGCATGTATGGCATGCTTTTTTCCCCCTTCAATCTTAGTTACACCATACTGTTTGCACATGTCTAAATATTGCTCACCAATAGACTGATGTAAACAAGCTTATCCCACAACCAACTTTAAATTCCCACTCTAGTCTTGCCAGGAAAAATGCTCACAGCAGTAAACATGAACACCCGTTCCCATGCCAACTGTGAAGGTGTTGATGTGGGTGAAAAAGTCTAGAAAAACAACGATACTTCTTTTGCTTTACTGTAAGATAAGATAAGATATTCCTTTATTTATCCCCCTTAGAAGAAATTCAGGTTGACACAGCAGC